CCGCGGGGCTGGGCCGCCGCACAAAATGCCGGCCGCGGACATGGCGGCGGCGCCTTTGTTCCCCCGCCCGGCGAGCAGCTCAAAATGGCAGCGCCGAGAAAATGTGGCGCAGAGAGAAATGCGAGACAAAGGGGGAAGCGCCGCCCCAGCGGGAACGCCGCCCGGCGACTCCGCCCGGCCGGGACTCCTCCCCCGGTAGTGGCCGGCTCCTCCTCCTCCTCTCGCCGCGGTTACATAATGTCGCTACCTGGGTCGGGAGCGCTGCCGCGCGATCCCCCGGCCCGCGGGGCCCGCGCCGCCCCGTTACCCGCCAGGGAGCAGTCGTAGAAATAACGGCGCTGCGGGGCGCCTCCCTTCTGATTCTCCTCGGCGCTTAATTCCTAAGCCGGTGGGGAGGACCAGAGATTACCTGCAGGGCGTCGTCTATTGTCATCCGAACCTGGGGTTCCAGAGCAGCCAGCTCGGCCCCCGTAGTGTGTTCACTAGGGATAGGAGAAACAATACGTGCGATGCCGATTGACAGAATGGCTGTCATTAAGGACTCAGGTTGTGCACGTTCAGAAACCCGTTGTAGCTGGTGCCAAGAGGTGATAGCTGTGAATACAAACGCAGGTATGGATGTTTGGAAAATATGAATGACTTTTGTCTTTAATTTCAGGTTTGGGGCCCCTCGATTTGGAGGGAGTAGAGCAGGCCCCCTCTCTGGAAAGAAGTTTGGAAATCCCGGGGAGAAACTAGTTAAAAAGAAGTGGAATCTTGATGAGCTGCCCAAATTTGAGAAGAACTTCTATCAGGAACACCCAGATTTGGCTAGGCGCACAGCAGTGAGTAATGTTATGTGGCTTCATCGGGCAATAACTTAGCAAAGGCTTGTACTGAATCAGAATCTGACAGATATCTTGCAAGTGACTAATTGGAAAAGTTAAATTTTTCCAGCTCGGAAGAATGGCTATCAATTTTTCTACTTAAATGGTTGAGTGTAGTAAAATAGTGGTTTTTAAGACGTATGGGTTTTCATATATGGCTATAGTTTAAAATAACGTTTTAAAGTAGTAAAGTATGAGTTTTTTAGCTACAAAGTTAGAGATTATGACATTTACAAAAATTACTGTTAATTTGTTTTGCAGCAAGAGGTGGAGACATACAGAAGAAGCAAGGAAATTACAGTGAGAGGTCACAACTGTCCAAAGCCAGTTTTGAATTTCTATGAAGCAAACTTCCCTGGTGAGTGTTAATTTCTTATTCTGGTCCCTCCTGTTTCTTTTTATCTTGGCACTGAGAACTTCCTAAGGTGGTATTATTGGTTGCAGCAAACGTCATGGATGTGATTGCAAGGCAGAACTTCACTGAACCCACTGCTATTCAAGCTCAGGGATGGCCAGTTGCTCTAAGTGGATTGGATATGGTTGGAGTGGCGCAGACTGGATCTGGGAAGACATTGTCTGTAAGTTTCAGTTGAATTATATTGTCAATTCTTGAGTTGCTGGGTGTTAAGTGCCAACACCCAATTGGAATAGAAACAACAGCATTTTAGAATGATTTGTTTTGTACCTCTTTTCTACCCAACAGTATTTGTTGCCTGCCATTGTCCACATCAATCATCAGCCATTCCTGGAGAGAGGTGATGGGCCTATTGTAAGTATATTTGTTAAGTTTTGTGGCCAGGGAGGTACTACAGGGACTTTGTAGAACACAGCAAAAGATCTGCTGGGTGTGGTGGCACATGCCTGTAATCTCAGCACTCAGGAGGCTGAGGCAGGAGGATCGTTGTGAGTTCGAGACCAGCCTGGGCTACAAACTGAGCTCAAGGCCAGCCTAAACTGCAGAGAGAGACCGTGTCTCAAAAACAGACAAAAAGCTCTAATAATATGTGATGCTTCTGTATAGAGGTTATTCTTAGCCAGTGTAGGTGGAACTACTTTGAGAATTACGCAGGGCGTGGTAGCCCACGCCTGTAATCCCAGCACTCAGGAGGCTGAGGCAGGAGGATTATTGTGAATTTGAGGCCAGCCTGGGCTACAAAGTGAGCTCAAGGCCAGCCTGAACTGCAGAGTGAAACCCTGTCTCAAAAAGACGGTAAAAACGAGAATTGTGTAACATAGGAAAGATGTACCAGTACAAATTAGCAGTTTAAAGTTAATCCACCTGGGTGCTGTCCACAACCCACCCACCCCATAAAAGTAGTTTACCCAAAGAAGCAAAACTAGTATCTTAAGTCTGTGCTAAAAGCTGTTTCTCTTTCCTTAGTGTTTGGTGCTGGCACCAACTCGGGAACTGGCCCAGCAGGTGCAGCAAGTGGCTGCTGAATACTGTAGAGCTTGTCGTTTGAAGTCTACTTGCATTTATGGTGGTGCTCCCAAGGGACCACAGATACGTGATTTGGAGAGAGGTCTGTATATGATTAAAATGGTCTGTTTATAACTGTGATAAAAGTTCTGGGTACAGAAGTTACATATATATGTTTATCTGAAGGTGTGGAAATCTGTATTGCAACACCTGGGAGACTGATTGACTTTTTAGAATGTGGAAAAACTAATCTGAGAAGAACAACGTACCTTGTCCTTGATGAAGCAGATAGAATGCTTGATATGGGTTTTGAACCCCAAATAAGGAAGATTGTGGATCAGATAAGAGTAAGTGCTTCTATATTTTTTCAGACTCACTTTACATTCTTTTTTTTTTTTTCCCCAGCACCGGGAATTGACAACTTTGCGCCTGCCAGGCAGGTGCTGTGCCACTGAGCTAAATCCCCAGCCCCCAGATTCATTTTAATTATCCCTGTGTACAGTCTAATCCTTCCCCCGTCTTTCAGCCTGATAGGCAAACCTTAATGTGGAGTGCAACTTGGCCAAAAGAAGTAAGACAGCTTGCTGAAGATTTTCTAAAAGACTATATTCATATAAACATTGGTGCACTAGAACTGAGCGCAAACCACAACATTCTTCAGATAGTGGATGTGTGTCATGATGTAGAAAAGGACGAAAAGTGAGTATAAGTCTAACAAGTTTTTTCAGACAGTACTTGTATTAAGTGGAAGTCACTTGTTTCATAGATTGTATTTACTCTAAGTTGCATGGAATAATATGAATACATGCATTTAAAATTACCTCGGGTGAGGTGGCACATGCCTGTAATTCAGGGTGCTGGGAGGATGAGGCAAGAAGATCACAAGTTTGAGAGCACAGGTTGGACAAGATCAGTTGCACAAGTTGGCAAGATTGTGTCTCAAAATGGGCTGAGAATGTAGCTTCAGTTCAAAATGCCTGAGTTCAGTGCCTAGAACTATGGATATTGAGCGCATGCTAGTCCATAAAAGAATTTTCTTCTTTCTGATAATTGGAAGCAAGGTAAAAGAGTACATCTGACTAAATGTGTAGCTGTGACTATGTAATTCCTTTTAAAATTGACAAGCTTTCTTCCATCTCTAGACTTATTCGTCTAATGGAAGAGATTATGAGTGAGAAGGAGAATAAAACCATTGTTTTTGTTGAAACAAAAAGAAGATGTGATGAGCTTACCAGAAAAATGAGGAGAGATGGGTATGTAGGCTTCTGTCTGTTGAAAAATTTGGAAAAGGGCAAATAAACTTGAGATCAGAAGCAGTGGGTGAGTTTCACTTACGGGGAATCATGTGATAAGTAAAACTTCAGGTGAAATTGAGGTCTGTGGTTCAAATGAGGTTGTGATGGTCTGTCTCATGTTTTAAATACGAGTCTTAAATGTTTTAATTTTAGGTGGCCAGCCATGGGTATCCATGGTGACAAGAGTCAACAGGAACGTGACTGGGTTCTAAATGGTAAGTATTACAAAATAAAAATGTTGTTTCCTTGGATTTCTACTCAAATGCAGAATTAACAGTCACATATGTGTATCTTTGTTCGCAGAATTCAAACACGGAAAAGCTCCTATTCTGATTGCTACAGATGTGGCCTCCAGAGGGCTAGGTTAGTACACTCCCGCATTCATGGCTTGGTTTCCGAGAAGATCTCCATATAGTTTTTTAAAGAAAGTTTATTGCTTTCTTTAACCTCTGCATTTTTTCTAAGTTTTTTTTTGCATAAAGGTGCAGTCTTTGTGGCAAGGCCTAGGCATGACAATCGGAGGACTCGAGGGGGATGGAGGACTAGTGATCGGCTGGCTGCTTCCAGTCGATTAGAGAGGTGAAAAGCTGAGCGTGTGCCAGTAATCTTCAAAGGGCAGAACATACCACCTCTGCCCCGTAAACTGTTCTCTCCGGGGGGCGGGGAAATGGAAGTTACCCTCACAGTTCACTGCCGTGGTATTTCTTCTGTCCCATGCTTTGCATGATTGCCATGGTACAGCATTGTTTCAAACTGTTCACTGTGATCTGTGGGTCTTTGAGTTTCAGTGAGTTTGCTGAAATGTCGAAGAAATATTTCCAAACTTCAATGTTCAATGAAATTTTTGTTCAAGTTTGAAATGGAGAGAGCAGCTTTAAAAGGTACTAAGCCTTTTACAAATTGGTGAGTACTGGCACATGAGACCTAGAGCAGGAGCGACTTCTCACACTTAAGTCAGTGGGAAAAGCAGTGCTTTGAAAGTTCCTCCCTCAGCCTACACAGTAGTCGTCATGTCGAGACCTGCCAGAGAGAGACACATTCTCAAGTGAATCCTGGCTTCTTGGAAGCGCTTGCCTAGACGAGACACTGCATAAAAACAACTTTTGGGGGACAGGTATGTTTTTCTTGCAGCTGCGGTTTTAAGGTCTTGGCAAGACAAGCAGTGTGGCCAGAATTTTGAACTTCTGATGAGTATGTGATGCAAAGGACCTTGTACATTTAATGGTCCTCAAAATGAGCACATGAAGAGGTTGCTGTGAATCTTTAAGTGGCCCTACTGCGCAGAAGCATTCAGATGTCACTTGATGATCTGTGAAGGGGACTTGTTCATTTGGTAATCTGCTAGGGATACACGTTCCTTTCGGCAGGCTCCATCACTGGGTGGGTAATGACGACACAGATGACACGTGCTTTTTCTTTTTTCCTCCCCCTTTCATTTTTCTTTTTTCAACTTAAATGGTATTCCTACAGGGAATGGATAACCATTGTAACTGTATTTTTTGCAGCCCGTACCTTCTTGGGAATACAATTGTCTAACTTTTTATTTTTGGTCTGGCTGTTGTGGTGTGCAAAACTCTGTACATTGCTATTTTGCCACACTGCAACACCTTACAGATGTGGAAGATGTGAAATTTGTCATCAATTATGACTACCCTAACTCCTCAGAGGATTATATTCATCGAATTGGAAGAACTGCTCGCAGTACCAAAACAGGCACAGCATACACTTTCTTTACACCTAATAACATAAAGCAAGTGAGCGACCTTATCTCTGTGCTTCGAGAAGCTAACCAAGCAATTAATCCCAAGTTGCTTCAGTTGGTCGAAGACAGAGGTTCAGGTAAGATTAGGCTTTTGATAAGAAAAGTGGTGGTTTTGGAATTGTTGTATTGTCTGCAAATCCATTTAAATGGGATTGGAGAGTGAGTAGAATCTCCAGAAGTGTGAATTTGAGCATAAAAATGCTTCAAACCTAGAATGAGTGGAACTACCCATTTTCTTCTGTTAGTGATGATTTGTGCCATGGATTTAATCAATCATCTTGCAATTTTTTTCTTAACAGGTCGTTCCAGGGGTAGAGGAGGCATGAAGGATGACCGCCGGGACAGATACTCTGCAGGCAAAAGGGGTGGATTTAATACCTTTAGAGACAGGGAAAATTATGATAGAGGTTACTCTAGTCTGCTTAAGAGAGATTTTGGGGCAAAAACTCAAAATGGTGTTTACAGCGCTGCAAATTACACCAATGGGAGTTTTGGAAGTAATTTTGTGTCTGCTGGTATACAGACCAGTTTTAGGACTGGTAACCCAACAGGGACTTACCAGAACGGTTACGATAGCACTCAGCAGTATGGAAGCAATGTTGCAAATATGCACAATGGTATGAATCAACAGGCGTATGCATATCCTGCAACTGCAGCTGCACCCATGATTGGCTATCCCATGCCAACAGGATATTCTCAGTAAGACTTCAGAAGTATATGTAAATGTCTGTTTTTCATAATTGCTCTTTATATTGTGTGTTATCAGACGAGATAGTTATTTAAGAAACATGGGAAATGCAGAAATGACTGCAGTGCAGCAGTAATTATGGTGCACTTTTTCGCTATTTAAGTTGGATATTTCTCTACATTCCTGAAACAATTTTTAGGTTTTTTTTGTACTAGACAATGCAGGCAGTGTTTTCACAAAAGTAACTGTACAGTGATTTGAAATACAATAAATGAAGGCAATGCATGGCCTTCCAATAAAAGATATTTGAAGACTGACTTAGTGGAAATTGTACTTTATTTTAAATATATGATGTCTGTAAAACTTGGCTTAGGTGGTATGGGATTTTTCCTTTTTAGTCATAAAGTGACTGCTTGCCATTCTTGGGGGTGGGGTATCAAGGCCCTTTCAAAAAAAATCTTCATTTCGCAAGAGTCAAAATCTGAAGTTTATCTCCAAGCCAAACTGCATAAAAGCTTTTGTCAGTAGTTTCCAACATCAGGGAAGTTCATTTTAATAAGCCTACTTTACTTCTTTGTTAGAATAAATGAAAACCAGGATAATAGGGAATAATCAGCTTTGTAGTGTGAACATGGATGACTGTTCCTTTAGAGAGTTTAAAAAGCTTCAAATACCTTTTTGCAAAAGATTATACTTTAACTATATTGTGGGTTACCAAGTGAACAAAAGCAAAAGATTGATTAAGCCCAAGAGCTAAGTTTGAGTCTGGATTTGCACAGTGTTCTTAGTGCAGGTTAGAGATTCTAGTCTTAATTGACTTCTGGGGTTCATAACTAGTCACACTGGGAGTCGTGAATGTTTTTATAATAATTCAGGGAATTCTACAGGTCTTCAAATTGTTAAGGTCTATCATATTCTTAACACAAGAAAAAAACCTCATCAAAATGATTGATCAGGAAGTAATAACCAAAAGCACAGTATGAATGCAGTACAGGTCTTAATGTTAGATTCAACACAAGTTCATTGCTAGGACAATAGGGAGTGGCTTTGGATATAACCTGGCTCACAAGCCCTTGTGATTTATTTCAGTAGTGGCTAAAACGTAGGCCTGAACGTCTTCCCAGGGAGTTTGGTGTGTTTTACCGGGAAAAGGGTCTTCCACGAGGCTTCATTTAAATTGGTGACTAAACAGGCTTTGATGTTCATGCCTTACCTCTAAAATGTAAAACAATACGCTGGGGTCGGGGGTGGTGTTTCTAGTACTAAACATTGAAAACTGATTCAGACCAATACCCTGAGCAGTTGTCAGTGGCATGTGGTTAGTCATATTCATGATTCTTAACCTAGAAAAAGCTTTTGGGGTAGGTTGGAGCTTTTATTACGTATTTTACTGTTTAAATGTCTAACATGGGCCTTCTAATTTGTAAACATGGAAACGATTGTGGGCTGTGGGGGAACAAACCATTTACCTATTTAACTTTGACGTTTTAAAAGACAGTCCACGTTTTAGCATGTGTGTTTTGTCCAGCCTGTGGTTGTCTTTAACTAATAAACGTGATTTTTCTCCCATTTTCTCCTTTTATTTATTTGCGTAGAGGCCTCTTCCCTGGTAAGAGTGTTTGAGTGTGAAGAAACCCTTGGTACAAGTTTTGTACTAGATCACAACGCCCCCATTCTGCTCCCTGCGCCCAGCATTGAACGTCACTTGAGACGAATCATTTACTGAGCCTATCATACGTCTTCCCAACCATCGCATTTTAACTACGTTAACTCAAACTGCTCAGTTTGTTTTTTTTATTGGTACCGGTAATCCAAATTATGACCTTGCACTTGCTAGGCAGGTGCTCGTGCCACTGAGCTATATCCCCATCCCATCTCAGTCATTTATACACTCCCTCTGGAGTGTGGTGAAGATTGTGATTTTCTACTGGGCCTTTCAAAGGTTTACTGTCTCGCCCACTTTGGCTGTACTTTCGCACTCAAGTGCTCTTGTTTAAGAGGGGATGGTAAAGTCGATCCTGGTAGGGAGGATAGTCTGACGGTGACAAGCTTCCCTCTATGGCTTGGTGAACCCAGGAAGGTCATTCATGAGGGATTCCTTCCCACTATTGGGTTTAGAATGTTCCCAAGGGATGTGGGTGTTGGAGGACGCTCCGGGACCTACTGCAGTAGGTCAAAGTGGCTGCAGTTAGGGTCACTTGCTGTACTGCCCTCAAGGGAGTTGAGACTACTCATTTTGGGAGCAGGCCTTTGGCAGCAAGCATCTACCTGGAAAATGAGAACCGAATTTCCTTTTTTTTTTTGGTTTGGTTTTTCTCCGGTACCAGGAACCGAACTCACGACCTTGTGCTTGCCAGGCAGGCACTTTGCCGCTGAGCTAAATCCCCAGCCCCCCAAATTTCCTTTTGACAGATCCCTAAGACTGGGGAGATACTTAAATGTTGGTTTGGGAGTAGCTTAGCGAGACTCAAAAGGCTGGAGATAGCTCACTGCGTGAGTCCTGAACAGAGTAAATGGTTATTTGGAGGACGGCATTTTCCTCTTGGTACGATGACGACGGTTGCTACAGCACTACCGTAGGTGCCGTAGTATCGCCTGATACGGATCAGCAGCTGGCCGGCGGAGGACATGAGGATGGGGCAAATCCATGACAGCGTCCCTCGACCCCATCCCCCCTTGAAGCGTGCAACGAGCTGGGGGGTGGGGGGGTGGGCTGCAGAACGCCGCAACCCGCTTCCGGGGCGGGGCGAGCTGGGCGCGCGCACTTCCGTCGCGCCTGCGCCGTGAGCTGCGGCCGCCGAGCCTGTGGCGGATTATTGGACGAGGCGTGATGCGCTTTATCTCCTGAGAGAGATGCGCTGCGGCGCAGCCCGCGGGGCCTGGC